ATAATTAAGTTCTAGTTTTTTTTATTATTGTTAATGTTGTTGTTTTGTTGATTATTTTGCTTTTAACAATGTTTAGAACTATTTTTTTTTTATTATGACCATTTTCAAAGAGCATTTCCGAAAAAAACTCTAATTTATGATTTATATGTTTTTTACTGCATAATGTAAAAGCTATTTTGATCAAATCTTTGAATACTCTATAAATTATTTTTGGATCATGACAAGAATGCGGCTTTATTTGCACATTAGTTATTGCATCCTTGCGATAAATATTAAAAAGGTATGTTCCGGATTTGTTACTTGTTATTGAAAGATCAAAAAATATATATTGTGTGTGAATCACTTTCTTTTTTAATTGTATATTTAGTATTTGAGTGATTATTATTTAACAACTAGTAGAAACGTTCTGATTCTGGATAATTATTAAAACGGGAATGGGTATCGTTAACATACCTTTTAAGTGATTTTACATAAATTGGTGGCTTAACTCAGTGGGTACAAGAACGTTTTGCGAACGTTTTTTAATGAACCCGTAAAAACGTTTTTAAATGGCTTTTTAAACGTCCATATGAAACGGTGACCGCATATTTTTTTAAAAACGTATTTTGGACGTTTTTGAAGGGACTTACAAAAACGTTTTTAATTGGTTTTTTGAACGTCTATATAAAGCGGTGACCGAATGTTTTTCTGAAAACGTTTTTTGAACGTTTTTTATTAAGTCTAAATGAAACGTTTTGTCTTTTCCAACAGTGGTCCTAAAAACCTTTTTTTACGTATAAGTTATTTATGTCAATAACTTATGTTATACGGAAAAAAATCCTTTTACAAAAGAAAACTAAGGTGTAACATTCGAATAAATAACTAAAAGTTTAAATCTTTTATGTTTATAAATAATATAAGCATACAAAGCCATAATAAAATAATTTTTATGCTGTTCTATTAAGAGTTCTCTTCAATTGATCGCCTATCAAATTATTGACCAAATCGAAGTTTGTTGTATGTAACACTAATGTTTCTAAAAAGAAAAATACCATAGAAATTTTCATGCTTTTCCCTAGCACGTATAAAACGTGTTATATAAATACACATTTATACTCAGGGTAAATTCTAAACGTTACATCATAAATAGTAAATGTTTGTTTTTCTAATAAAACAAGAATAAACTTTTTTATTCTTGTGATGAAATTGAGCCGTTAAGAGGTACTAGAGGTTGAGTTAAGTTTTCACTTATGCGGTACTTTTTGTAGCAATAAAACTCAGCATCTTTTACGTATCGCTTTGGTATGCATGTTTGACATGCACTTTTTACACTTGAATTGGTTTGCAGCTAATATTTTCGTTGGACTTGTTGCTTGGTTTATTTGCTGTTCTCCATGAGAGCTAAGCTTAGGTTGCTTTTTAGCTTGCTTTGCTGCTTTTTTGCTCTCAGCATCTTTCAACCTTTCAAGTATTTCAGGTTTGTTGAGACACTTCCCTTCGAATCTTGGCACATTTACATTTTTTCTTTTTTTTTTTGTGTCAACGTGTTGGATACGAAACATTTGTTACAAAGCTGATCCAAGTGATTGGACTGATTGCAGTTGTTTTACGACCTCTTTTTAAATTTCCTTTTAAATAGCCGGAATTACTACAATATTGAAGGTTGTTTGCAGACAAGGTGACTTTTGAGTTGACTTTGGAGCTGATGCTATGTGACAAATGCTGATGCTAGATGTTGTTGGTGTACATTCAGAGGGCAGGGGCTGAGGTAGTGTAGTTCCTTGTGCTAGATTTGGTGACAGCACTATCATTGATTCTGGTTGTTGAGATGATGAAAAAATTTATAGTTGGAGATTTATTGGTCACTTGAGACCTAATAAAAAAAGCCGTTTTTAAAAAATAAGCTATTGCTTCGTATTTATTTATTTATCAGTGTATTGCATTCAACCCCGCAACACTAAGTTTCTTTTTTTAGATCATAACTTTTTTTCCTAAATAGCAAATTTAATTTTGAAAAAAGATTCTTGATCAGCGTAAAAAGTTGTATCAGTAATCATTTTAAGTTCAATGATACCAAATTTAATTTCCGAGAGTTTTAGGTTCGGGTAAAAATTTCTCAAAAAACACAAATCTGCACCCTATATCACCAAAATTTTTGAAACTTGGCACAAATGTTTATAGACATATGTTAGGAAAGATTCTAATTTTTTTTTCATAAAATTCCTTACCGTTTATAATTTACAGCAATTTGATGTTTCCTTGATTTTGACTAAAAACTGAGGGGGGAAAAGTGCCGAAAATCATTCCGTTTACTTTCACCTTAATATGGTGCTTGTAGTGATGCCACAATTCTGAAACTTTGTACCAAAAGAGTTTAAAACCTGTTAAATCCGAAAAACAGTTTTTTATATGTCAAAACAAGGGAATGTAGCTTATTTTAAGATCCATAAAATACACTTTATAACGCCGAGAAAAAAGGGCATTAACAATTATATTTATAAAAAAAATCCAACTGATATAAAAAAAAATTTAATTTCGATTTTCTTAAAAATAAGATTAACGCCTACTTTTCGAACCAATTTTGTTTTGGCCTTATATTTACTTGAGGAATTATTGATGTTTGATATAGACACAAAAGTTTTTAATATTTTTTAAATTAGACACTTAATATAACCTCACTTTTTACCAATCAATCAAAATAGAAACTAAAAATTTAGTGACTTTATTATCTTTTTCATTTCCATATAATATTTACAACAAAATTCAAACGTATATAAATTTTTTTTTAATACTAAACTTTAGTGATTTTATATATGCTTTGCATTCACATTATTTACAAGTTGGTTCACAAAACATAATATTTAAAAAAAGAATGGATAAGACATAATAGACTCATAAATATAAAAATCTCTACTTCCTTAGGAAAATAATTTTTTTTTAAGTCCTCTTTAGCTAAATGGTAGCAAAGTCCTGCTTTTGTTATCGGTACCTCAACTTCGCAAATAATGTGGACATCAGGAATCCAGCATTGGTATTTCTTTGGTGGCAATTTAAACGACCGTGCAGGACCATTAGGACACATAAATTTTAGAAGCAAATCTTTTTCTTCTAAATTAATATCTTCAATGACGCCAATACACCACTTTTGCTCATAGGAAACACAGGTTCAATCACCTGGTACTAGGTTTACAGTTGTTATCTGGATATTTCCAAAGTCATGAATTAAAGCAAATTCTTCATAAACACTTCATAGTTTAGTGCCTACCTAAACAAAATAGTAACATATGCAATTATTCCGTTTTACTTATCAAACACGTTTTATTAAATGCATAGATAGCAAATGCAGAGAAATTAAAATAAAATATTTTTGATAATGATTCTGCAAAAATATAATATCTATTTGAGTTTATCAATAAAAGTTATGCGTGTATTTTAAAATATGGTAAAAGGTATAATTAAAAAATAATAATTTACCTTTTGATGGCCAAGTGGTACAAACTGATGGTAACTACGTGTTCCAGGTGTTGTATTAGCAGTATCCAATCATTCTTTAAGAGCGGTTCTCACCAAAGTTAAATCTTCTGATGAAATATATATGAAATTTATGCCTTCAATGTTTTCATTGCAATATTTATACATTGTTTCTGGAGATAAAATATGATTACCCATATCTCTTTGCAAACTTGCTAGTGTTGCCAGACGTTTGACTGTACCACCTATCCCATCACAAGGTTGCTTAGTTGCAAAAAAGTTTTATTTAGCAGTAAAACAAAAATCTTCACAATGGAAACAAAAATTTAATATATTTTTGCAATTCTTATATTGACCTGCACACCCATCTGAAAAGTATTCAACATTTTTTATTTGAGGCAAATTTGTTTTTATATCATTGCAAACAACCTCAATAATTTTATAAACCATGTTCACATCATGGATCATATCACCCGAAATAATACAAAAGGATTTGTGCTTGAGAATGCCTTCTTTTTTGAAATAAATAATCACTGAATGAAGTGTACATTGTAAATTTGTCCAATGAAAGCTTTGCACTTCATCCTGAACTACAAATTTATAGTTTTCTGAAAAATCACCCAGAAATAATGCTGTTACCTCATTCATATCTTCCTTTCTTGATCTCAGGTATAATGCTTGACTCTTTGCTAAATACGAATGTGGTGCAAGTTAGTCCAGTTTTCTACATACTAGTTCAATGTATTCAAACACTGGTTCTTTATTATGTGTCAAGTTTGACATATCTGTTGTTGTCCATTGATCAAATTCAATCTCATCATCATCTTCAAATTCTCCAAGTATATCATAACGTTTTTCAACCAATACATTTATAGTTGCTGGGCATTTTTCACATTTCCTTATCATACAGTCTTTATTAGTTATATCACAGGCAATATAAGGTAAAAACTCTTTGTATGTCACACCAAGAGGATGTAAAAGCAGTTTCAAATTCTGATGAATAACACAGACGCATACGGAATGTGTTCCTGAGGCACCAACAGTGATACACCATTTAGGTCGCAAGGTGCAAAACCTTGAAAATCCTATTTTTATTTCTGGGTTCTTGGTTTTAAAGGCAACAAACAATTCCTTTAAACTACATTAGAGCAAACATTTTTGCATGTGGACATTTTTCTTTATGCTTACATAGTCCTTTTTACCTGGCATTATACGGCTATGTTCATCGTCTTCGTAAAAGGTTTTGACCAGTTAAACTGTTACATCAGGAAGAGGTTTTCCTAATTTAGGATTAGACATGGTTAAAATAACTTTTTCTAATGTTAACTTACGTGCAGTTCGAGCTACATAGTTTGTTACATGCAATGTTTCAGATACATTTTTTTTTATTGACCAGTCTGTTGGAGCAAGTGTCGCAAGTTGTACTTTTTTTGATGTTGATGTAGACTCTGCAATTTTGTTAGTTAACAATACCATCATGTTACCAAACAAGTTTGCTTTTTCCATATACTCATTATTAAAACTTGACTGTTTTCAAAACTTTCTTCTGATATATTAAGAGAAATGGCTATCTGTTTTTTTAATGGAGGTTGTTAATGCTGTCAATTTTCGTTTACCTTCTCTGATTTTACCTGACTTGTGCAATCCTTTGACCTTAATTGGAGATACTCCGGCAGATGCAAAGTGTGTATCTACACTTTCTTTTTTATTTTGAATGGATCTTTCATTAACAATATCAAAATCTTTATCATTTTTATTTTCACTTATACTTTTTGATAAACATGTCATAACTTTACTTCGACAGGTTGGACACAGTTTTTTTCCAGGTAAAAGATTTAAACCTATGGTTTCTGCTTCTAACACAGTATGCATTGTAATCACATGTAGAGATGCTTAAAAAGAAAGTAATTACATTAGTTAAATAACATTAATTATATATATTATGTAATTATATTACTATACAATTTGTTATATTAATAACTATGAAACATTGAACAAATCTTATTACCAAAAAAACTTATATGACTTATTAATAATGATATTACCTAATGAAATATAAATATATAAATTTTTACCTCTACACACCTTTTGGTGACTCAGAAATGGATTACAGCAACTTTTCTGATTACCCTCATATCTTACAACTAACATATCATGATAGTGTGTACATATATTAGTAATTTGTTCTTGTTTCAGATTTGTTCGTTTTTCAAGTAGCTTACGATCATTGCTGTCAATATTTTCAATCAGATTTCTTTCTTGAGTATATGATTGTTTATAACAAGCTTCATAATTATTTACAAAGCAGCAATTAATTTTGCTATTCATATAAAAATATAATGAGGAATCTCTGTCTAAACACTTTATACAAGAAATCTTAAATAATCTTAATGTCCCTAACAAGAAAAGTACACTTGAACACAAACAATATCATATCAATATGTATTTATAAAGAACATATTGCTAGAACAAGTAGCTATTAGTTTAATAGACATATTTTAAATGCCTAACTATCTAGTAGATAGTTAGGCATTTAAAATATGTAGATAGATTTATAGTAGATAATCTACTAATAATTGTAAATTCTCCATCAACTACAAGTGTAAAAGTAAAAGGTAACTAAATATAATTTTATTTAGTTATGTAACTTAACATGGTAAGTTAATTAGACATTATTATATCATTTTATTACTTTTTTTTATTGATGATAATAAATGTTTTATTACAACAAAACAATCAACAACAAAAGTTACATAATATTGTTAAATTTAATGACATGATATTATGTAATGAAAATGACATTATTATTATGTAATGAAAGTAAAAAGAAACAAATTTATAAAATGTTTAACTATGTTTTGTAATAATTTTGTAAATTTTTTACAAAGCTACTACAAAACAAAAATAATTGTATTTGTATTCAAAATATATTTGCAAATTATTTTTTTTTTGCAAAATATCTTTAGAAAAATTGAAAAACTAAAACATCAATAACTCCTTGATAAAACATAAGGCCAAATAAAAATTGGTTTTGAAAGTTGATATATGTTTAATATTTAAAATAACGAAAACCAAAACTTTTTTTCATCAGTCAGATTTTTTCTAGAACTATAGTTGTCACTGGCCTTTTTTATTGTCATTAACAAGTGCGTTTTGTGGATCTACAAATAAACTATATTTTATTATTTTGAGAGATAATAGTTTATAATTTTGAGATTCAGCAGGTTTTAAACTCCTTTGGTACAAAGTTTTAGCTTCGCAACATTACTACAAGTTTGTTAAAAGGGTAATGGTAAATTAACATATTTTCGGCTTTATCCCCCCTCTTTTTTCAGTCAAAAAATAACTAACTTCAAGTTGCTATAAATCTTAAAGGGTTGAGAATTTTTTGAAAAAATTTTACAGTCTTTCCTAACTTATATCTTTAAACATTTGAGCCAAATTTCAGCGAATTTGGTAATGCAGGGTGCAACCCCTTGTTTTTTGAGAAATTTTTACCTTTACCTTTTTCAAATAAATAAAAAAAAATCTTATTACGCATTCGAAAACTTATAAATTTATAACAAAATTTTTTTAATTAAAAAAAAAAATTTATACAATCTTACTCAGAAAAATATTCTCTACAATATAATCAAAAAGTATTTACAAAAAAATTATTCAATAATTAATTAAAAGCGAAAGAATAAACATTGTCATAACTATTTTGTTCGTTTGATAATAGATAAGGGATTTTCAAAAATTTCAAAGTAGATTAGTATATTTAAAGTTGAAATAATGAATTTTTTAAGATTTTGTTTAAAAGAATCAAAATTAGATTCTTGAGAAAAATCTTTAGAAGTATTTAGAACTATACTATTCCATAAAAATGGTCCGCAAAATGAAATAAAAAATTTTCCAAAATTAATTTGGGAAAACGGTTGTCGTTTGGGTAATTGTCGTGAGGGTAGTTGCCCCTTAAATTATCGTTCCTTAAAATATATTTATTTCTATCTCTTTGTAAATAAAAGTTACGAAAAGAAACGGGTGATAGGTGGGTCTTGCATTTATACTTAAAACAAAGAATATTAAAATCATTTCACTCATATATATTAAATACTTTCATATAAAAAAGGCTTGACGTGAGCAAAACGGTCCTTGAAATCTATAAGCCGTGCTACATGCTTCTGTTGCCGATAGAGAAGTTTAGGTTTACTTTTATAAGTGCTCCCAAAGTATTTGCAACTACAAGGTACTTTTCATCATTGTTTAATGGTCATGGATCTGCAAATAATTTGTCAAAAATTCAAAAAAAAGGTCAAAATTTTTTAATGAAAATATCTTAGTCAAAATTTTACAAATTTCTATAGATGGAGGTTTTTGGATACCGTAAAATTGGGTGGCTTTGGCCCTACGGGGTGACTTTAGCCTAACAGAAATTTTTGTTTAAAAATGGTTTAAAATACCTTAAGGTATGCTGATTGATGTTTAGTAGCAAATTGTGGGAAATTTATTATTTATTTAGTTTAACTTAGTTTACTTAACTCGAGTCTTTGTGATATTATTGTAAATTGCACTTTAGAAGAAGCACCTAAAATCCGAATTTTTTTAGGTGTGTAAACTTTTACATCGATAGCAGTACCTGTAGAAGGTTTTTTATTGGATTATACACTGAATTAATTTTAAACCATTAGTGTTTGATTCTATCTTGTTTTGAAAACTTAACAGTTTATTACTTTTTTGTAATTGAGGTTAAAAAAAAAGTAGGTTGTCTTTGGCCCACTACATAGAGTGACATTGGCCCTGGCTAAAGTCACCCCATGTATAAGAGTAAACCTTTTTTAGTGATCATTTATAGATATTATGGTAGTTATTATGTTGGAATTAAAAATTTTGTAGTAGTAATGCAATTTTGAAAAGTATAGTGGTAAAAATATTAAAAAGTATGGTGGTCAACAAATATTTACATCAAAAGAAGAAGACATGTTTAAGGCATATGCAATAAAATCATCTGAGTTTGGTTTTCCTGTTGATAAATATGATTTAAGATGCATAGTAAAAAAGTATTTAGAGAAAAAAGGCGTCATTATACCTCAGTTCAAAAATAATTTTCCTGGTTGCGATTGGATTCGATCTTTTTTAAAAAGAAATCCAGAACTCACAGTAAGATTTGCAAGCAACATAAAGCGAAAGAGAGCAGAAATAGGAACGACTATAATTGATAACTACTTTATAAGTCTATTAAATGAAATAGGTAATATATCACCTGATAATATATGAAATTATGATGAAACCAATCTTCGTGATGATTCAGGTAAAAAATAAAAAATTAAACAAAGCGTGGAAGTAAGTATCCTGAACGCATCGTTAATTCTACAAAGACCTCATTCTCTGTAATGTTTTGTGGCAATGCTAATGGTGAATTGCTACCACCTTGTGTTGTTTACAAAGCTGAGTTGTCATGGAATACATGGATGGAACATGGGCCACCAAAAGCACGTTATAACAGATCAAAAAGTGGTTAGTTTGACTCAACATGTTTTAAGGACTGGTTTTTCTCTTTACTTCTTCCAAGACTTAAAACGGCTCAAGGAAGAAGTGTCATTATTGGTGATAACGTATCTTCACATTTGAGCATTGCAGTACTGGATGCATGTCAAAGCAATAACATAGGATTTAATTTCCTAGACTTTTAGACCGTTTAATTACCAACTTAAGTGAAAATGGGAATGATAACCTTGAGCTGGTTTTCGCAAAACTGGAATTTTTCCATTAGACAAGTCTCAAGTGTTTTCACGACTACCATGTTGTAATGTAGGTTTAGACTCAACTACTGATTTAGTAAGCCAATCATTTTTAGATCATTTATGTAAGTCACTGGATGATCCCTCAGATGGTTCTAAAAAACCAAAGCGATGTAAAGTATGTGTTGTCCCAGGTAAAAGCTTATGTTCAACAAATATATCACCTTGTGTTATAAATAAAAATAATAGATTAAATTCAAATAATGTAGATACACCTATCAGTATTATAAATGCAATTGAGACCAACAACATTGACTTTGCTGGTCCAAGTACAAATACTGGAACTACTGATACTTCTAATCTAATTTTTGCAGATGTAAGTTTAGTTGTAGAAAGTCATACAAAATCTGTAGATCATTAAGCATTAGGCAAAAAGAACTTTCAAAATATTGATAAAACAAAAAATGCTTGTAAAAAGGAGAAATTATTAAATCTTTTAGAGAATTGTTATGTAATTGTTAAATGCAATGGAGAGTTAAATCGTGGACAGATATGTTTATTTATTTTGAGTTGTTTATATTTAGCTAATCAATTAGAAAACTTTATAACTAATTAATTTAATAACTAATATTATTTAATGAAACTTTTGAAATTTTTTTTTCTGCAGTTGAAAAAATTAAGAAAAAATGGAGCAGAAATTACTATTTTGAAAAAAAATGGACTTAACTGGAAATGGTCACTACCAGCAGAGCAACTTTTTTTTGCCCAGTCGATTTTATTGAGGAACAAAAGAAAATTTCGAAAAAAGGAATTTATTCAGTTCCAGAACTTTTTCACTAAATTTTTTAAAACATTATTTTTGTCATTTTTGTTTACTTTATATCTAAACTGTTTTGTTTACTTGGTACCTATACTTGTTTAGTTTGTACCTATATTTTATTTACTGTATACAAGAACTTTGTTACTAAATTTTTTTTTGTTACTTTATTTTTGTAAATTTATTTTCTTTGCCTAAATATTGTTGTTTTTATTGTTGCTTTGTTTCCTTTAATTCCTTTTTACAGGGTTGGGCCAAAGTCACTCTTACACATAGGGCCTCTTTGGCCCACCATTTAAACCACCCAAAAGATACTTCAGGTAAATAATTTTCAAATGGGAGACAGATAGTTCTAACTTTCCTTTCTATGTGCTTCTAAAAGTACTAAGTATTTGAGGAAATAACTTTTGTGGGTTTCATGCAATAGACATTAAGATGCAAAATGGGCCAAAGCCACCCAATCTTACGGTATTTTCAATGATGAAGTTGGTAAAAAAGTTTAAAACATCTAATCTTATAATGGGATCATTTGGCCTACATGTTGTACATAGTGCATTTCAAGCAGGTCATAAAAAAGTGAAATGGAATGTTAATGCATTACTGAGAAATTTTATAAACTTTTTTAATGATAGGCCTGCTCGTAGGGTAGATTGTCAAACAGTTTGTGAAAGTGATAAGTTTCCTCTAAATTTTGCTCAACAAGATTGGTTGAAAATGTATCTGTATGTCAAAAAGCTTTAGATATTTATAATAATGTAAATTTGTTTGTCACC